CATGTAATTTAGATCAAATTGAAAATACAAAAATATAAATCCTCAAGCCCAGAGAATGGACTTCTGATCAGGATTTCCCATCACAGAACTCTGAAAATGAATCAATTTCAACATCCATCAGGCATTAATGTAAAGCAAAATTAAATTAACAAGAGAAAAAGCTAGCAAAATATCATCAAACTTTGATCAATCATCGTGTATATTATCTCTTCCAACTGCGACTTCTTGATAGTGAATCCTTTATTCCTCCCACAACCCAAGTTTCCTTTGCAACATCAGAAGAAATTTTGTAAAAATCTGCTCCGTATTGCATCACCACTAAATTTTCTTTCTTCTTTGCATTTTCTTCTTCTTCCTGAGTTAGTTTTTCTTCCTCTTCCTCTTCCTCTTCGTCTTCATCTTCATCTTCATCTTCATCTTCCTCCTCTTGTTCATCATTTTCTTTTTTATCTGCTTCTATTTTCTCCAGCCAACTTTTTGCAGGAGCAGATCGACAACGCATGAGCAGAAGTGCATTTGGTGGTGGTGCACAGGGCACATCATCATCAGTACTAGATAGTCTGGATTTATTAATTTTCTCCTTGATATCCTTTTCTGTGAACTGTTTGCTTTGATTTTCTTGTAAAACCATGAACCATTTGGAGAATACAGTTCTTGAAGTTTCACTATCCTCATCATTTTTCCGTTGGTCATCTTCATCTTCTTCGTCGTCGTTGTCATCTGAGGTTATATCTGCTGTAGGAAACGTACCGAAGCAATGAAAATCGAATCGAATGCTACGTAAACATGTCAAGAATTGCATTATCTCTTTCTTGAATCCAAGTGCTTCAATCCAAGCAGGTCTTTTCTTGTGTTTCTTGCTGTTATGTAACCTTTCAATCTCTTCCATAACAGATTGCCAATTCTTGCATGTGTTAGGTTTAGGCCTTACTTTAATCTGTCCAGCACATGTGACTTTTGGGGACGTGGGTTCTTCAATCTCAGAACTTGTCGCCTTGTTTTTTGCCCATGTGAGAGGACTAGCATGGCCTGCGCCACCAGCTCTATTACTAGATTTCCTCAGGTTACGATGGAGCCTCTGCCGGTGGTTGTGGTGGAGGTGGGGGCGGCGCTTGTTGTGTTCTGAGTTGGGCCTAGCTGGGCTGCAAATGGGCTTCGGCATTAGGGTTAGATGTGCTCTAGAAGGAAAACATACCAATAAATCTGCTGAAGGAGGTCCTTTGCCTTCTCTTCCTTTCATGGTGTATTCTCTTGTTCCTTCTTTGGTTCAGATCTTGTGATCGAGGAACTGTAAATGTGTAACCTTTTAAGGGTTTAGTTCAGTTTTGATTTGGGATGAGTTTTTAAAAGAAATGAGAGACTAGGTAGGAGTGGGGTGGGTTAATGCAAGGGGACAGCTTTCTTCAGCTACTTTTTGTTATTTGTTCTTCTTTACCATCTGTTATGTCTATTTTTTGAAGCATTACACCTTTTTCCTTCTCTTTGAAAATGGGGTCACAAGTGAGTACTGAGCTGCTTTAATTTCTTGGCCTTTACTTTTATGCCTAACAAATTGAATTATAAAGAAAGAAAAGTTGATTGGCACGAACCTTGTTTCATGATCCAATCATGCTATCAACTTGCGTCTCTGCCAGATAAGTCTTATGCTATAGTTCTATTGCCCACCCAAACTTCCAAAAACCAAAAAAACCCTAATTTAAATCGAAAAATAATATTATTTATCTACAGTCATGATTAACATCAGTTTACATGATAGTTGGGTCACTATCACGTTGTCCAACGAAGTTGGAATGAATTTTTATTCATTGAATAATAAGACAATAACATCAGTGCTCAATGATTGATGAATATCATCACTCTAGATGAATAACATTATTTCAATTGAAAACGTATTCTTTAAAAAGCAAGCACGTGACTCGGGGAAAAAAATTAGTGAGTTGCTGCAATAGGCAAACATTTTGTACGATTTGGAAGGCACGTGAGTTAGATGTTGATTGTGTGACATCATTAAAGTAAGGTTTCAGAATTATCATAATACGTATCTCCTCTCTGAGGACCCTTGTATTGTACACAATGAATATCATGGTATTATCACAAGTTTTGGGCTAGAAGACTGTAAATCAGATCATGTTCTGTTGCACCCGCTTCCAACAAATAAAAATCAATTTGAAGTTGTAACCAAATACTTCTGGTAATGCACAAATTCTAAGAGAGATGCATTTGGTTGAGACTTTTCTGAAGGTGGGATAAAGGCACAAGGAAAGTTTGTTTAAAAATAAAAAAAGGACAAAAGAATATGTGATTTAATAAAGTGATTAACATGGCATAATGAAAAGAACAAATGGATTCGGAGCATGGGCAAGAATGACCCCACCATTCGTTAGTGCATATTGCTTTAGGATTGGAATTGTCAACTTTTGTTGGGTCCCTCTTCTCCTTCTACAGATTTATTTAGTACGAAAACAAATCTTAGTTTTGTTGGTGAAAGGTTAGTGATAACTAGGAAACTTCTTTCAACAAATTCATTCTTAATTATGTTGTTCTGATACTGTCTTCTGCGGAAAGTTTTTGCATCAAGTTTCTATAAATTAGGAGAAGGAATGCCTATACAAGACATTTAAATTTGAGTAAAGTGGCCTTACCAGAATTGACTCGACTTGGAATGGAACGTGTCGTGTCGAAGGCTGGTCTACATAGAATAGTGACCTCCCTCCCTTGCCTCGCAGCTCATCTGGATTGTGTTGTGTGGGTGCTGAGGATTTTGAGTAGGGGAATTGGGTAATCCGGTTTAGTACCCCCTAAGCAATTATATTCAAGTCTCATAATCTAGTGGCCAAAAGTGGTTATTGCTTTATAATCACAACAAACGACGCAAAATCAATTAAGGAAAGTAAAAAACGTACGAAATGTGGTCCGCAACATTTGGTATCCCTCCCCATGTGTATTTTCTTGATTTTGTTCTAAAATCAAGAAAATTAGCATGGCCTTTGACACTGCCTCCAAAGCTTCCATAATTCAGCCTTGACAAGGATTAATTAATGAAAATTGGGCTTTTCCTTTAGAATGGAGATTGCATGTTTTATCTTTATGGCAATCTTTTAAAGAAAGGCATACAAATGCATGAGGGCCTAAGCAAAAAGGCCTAAAGGTTAGGTTAAAAGCACCATGCAACATAAAGTGTGTATAGTGCAGACTGTGGGTAAGAATATTATTTAGGGTTGGCAACTGATGGGTACAGAAGTGGAGAGGTTGAGTTTAGAGCAAGTGTTGTAGTTGTGTAAAGCAGGCAAGAAATTATGTTAATTTCCAAGAAGATTATTTCCCTTTTTCGTCTTGTGTATACCACTATGTTAGTGTACCCTCTAGCATAGCTCGCCCTCCACCTCCGAAACCCTAGATCTTT